CAACAATTATACCAATATTGTTTCTAGTTAATAATCGCATTACAAAGTTAAAAACAAAAGAATGACAATGAATCCGAACAATATTTTATATCCGAATACCTTTTTGTAAGATTAACGCTACTTAATTGTTAGTTATTAATTTTATATTTTTTCACAAGTCACAAAAAGGGTTAATTTTTATATTGTGGGGGTGGTTTGTACCCCTAAAACGCTTTATGGGGACGTATAAAAAAATACGTATCCAATATTTTTCGGTGTTTTGAAAGTATTCCAAGTTTCATTAAGATCGGCGGGTGGCACTTGGGTAGGTTTACTTGTTAGCAGCGCGCGGCGGGGTGATCCCGATTGACCACGGCTCGATTGGACACCACCAATCACAGCGACCGGTGCTTAGGAGCTTTGTAGTCTCAAGCGCTGTGAGTGGCTCGTGTCCAATTGAGCCGTGTCCAACTGGGTGCCCCCCGCCGGTTTATATACTCAAGAGGGGTGACGTCTCGCGGTAAGGGGGAATCTCGAGTCATTCCAGATTATTACTTTAGTTTTATCATGCCAAAATCTCGTTAATTATCGCTGATTTCTTTATTCTAGATACATGAGGTGACTCTTCGTATTTGCTTTCATCGCTAGATGTCTTTGCAGCAATCAAATGCGTCTGCAACTGCCCATTGCAGAGATCGCGGTTTTTATACACGTACTTCCCGACGTTTAGTCGTTGAGCAGAATAATTCGCGATATTCATTGAGTTCCGCGCTTGGTGATTTACGAGCCGGATGACTGTTCTCGAACAAAATTCCCTTTTGTTTTAATTATCGGGCCTCTTCTTTGGTTTTTGCCGATTGGTTTGGCTATTGAAAAGAAGAAAGAGAACAAACAAAAAAGGTCTCAGTTGCTCTTCGTAGGGTGGTTGCTCGCGGCAATTGCTTTAGTTTATTAATTCTAATTAGTGGGTGGAGGAGGTTCCTTTCCTTAGTTTTCGCATGTGTGTGTACGTGCTGTTTATCCTTCTAGATTGCATGGATTTTCCTTTTGGTGAGATAATTTAGATGAATTATGTCGCGAGGTTCATGCGCTAGGCCGCCGTAGCATGAAAGAGGGAAAGGGAGTAAGAGCGAGAGCGCCAGAGGATCGAACTTCGATCAGCTGCGGCGCTATAATGTATGCGATTTATAGCTATAGTTACGTTCTGCCTGTCAGTGGATTCTTATCAGGCGGACGTTACAATTACGATGAGCCGCCTACGATAATTAATTATATCTCGAGAGCACAATGCTATGTCAAATATCGTTGATACGGTTAACAATAAAGAGCTTTTTTGCGATAGTGAGTTTAGAATTTCTACTACCGTAAATACACTATTAACTATGGCAGATTTTCAGTGATTTTTTAAGTATACATAAAAAGAGAGATTCCAACAAAACTTGCAATGAAACATTACGTCTTTCTTGATATTTTATCGTATTCCGATGAAATCATACTCTCCTAACAGGAAATGATAGAGAATAGCGGAGAATATTATTTCTTTCGGATATTTTTTTCTTTTCGATTTAGAGTAGCGACAGATTACGATAGAAATTAATTAGATTTTCCGTAGATTTCCATAGGTTTCATCGCTTTCTCTCTTTCGACATTTTTGTTCATCGAAGTTTATTATAGTTTGTATTTGTCCTGTTTTTGCAGTGTTATTACGGGAGGGCTCCGATTGCACACATCGCATATTGCACACATATATCGCTGATTGGCCAATTTAAAAATAAAATAATCTCATTGGCAAAACAGTGAAAAATTACTAGGCACCAGTTGATATGAGTGGTGTGTACAATCAGAACTGTAGGCAAACGGGATCCTTCCGTTATTACATACGTATGTAATGTAATCGCGAATGTGCGTAGCGGCCATCGTGCATGTCCTTTGGTACGGTGCGGTGAGACGTGTGAGCGGCGATGCCGAGCGCTAAGCAATGGCGCGCTTCCCCTCTTGCCTCTCCTGCCGGCGCATCTATCGTTTGACATTTGACAAACTGGGCCAGGCTATACCTCAAGCGGCCGGAGCCGTTTCTACTCTTTCTATCGACGCGCTCCAAAGACATAGAGAATGGACTGCGCGATTCATATCTAAGTAGTGTATCAAATGTGGTCGACAATAATGAGAGGGACCGTGGGAGACGGCCAATTTTCTCATTCTCTCTCCCACTACATCATTGAATTGAAAGAGATAGAAATGAGCCATCTGGGAGAGATAGAAATGAGCTGATGGGAGACGGCCAATCTCCCTCTCATTTTCTCTCCCATTACACCATTGAATTGAAAGAGATAGAAATGGCCGTCTGTCACGGTCCCTCTCATCTCTATCGACCATTTTGACACACGGATCGCGCAGTCCATTCTCTATATCTTTGTCGCACTCTCGTTAGTACAGTTACAAACTTTAATATCTCGATTATCGTTACGGATATCACTAAATGGTAAAGGACTTTTATGTTTATTTCAATCCTATCTACCTTCCTATGGAGAATTGAAAAAGTCCCGCTGGACACCCTGTACACTGAATACTATTTTGTATGTATGATAAATTCACGGAGAATATAGCTAATACTAGATCGTCTTCGTAAAGAATTGATCTAAACATCATTAGCCAATAAGAATGCTGTAGTAACATGAGAATGAACTTTGAATATTGGTCTGTGATTGGTCTAAGTGAAACAACATTTTTCGTCGATAATTCAGAAAAAACAAATTGTACATGACATGTTTCTCGGCTCCATGCAACAAGAATATAATGGCTGTTCTACAATGTGCTTTTTATTTCCTGTTTGTTGCTGTTTGTCTCTTGCCTTTTTGATCAAGGAGGCAAGAGACAAACAGGTTACCGGACAAAATCCATAAAAAATGGCGGA